CATTTTTTTCTGAAAAGGTGGTGTCTATTTACTTGTGACCACACTGTGTATATATTAAATATTCTATCAAAAAATTTATTTCATGAAAATGCATGAGATCATCAAGCCTGTGACTGTATTTTGCTAACAAATGTATGTAAAACCTGTCTCTCAGGTCAGCAGTTACAGACATATTGCATAATTTTAAGAACCCATGAGTGAAAATAAAGAAGAATATACTAGAATATATCAACCAAACTACTGGTATAGTATAGTTATATCACTTAGTAGTTTTTATTTTGCTAAAAATTGTAAACTGACCAAAACATCTAAGTGAAGTTAAAAAATGTTCAATGGTTATAATGCTTCACGTTTGAAGTGTCTATGTTTCAGATACATTATAATTTCAGTGGGTAATTTTTATTAATGCAAATGCAGAAGTGGCCAAAATAATGCCACTTGGCTGGAAATGGTTATATAAATATGGTATTCCTAATTTATAAATTGAACCTGATTCTGATCCCCAAAAGAAAAACCCTACCTGTCTCGTAATTACTCATAATTTCATATTCAACTACAGCTCAGAAGAAATTTACGAATTATGCATTTTTTAAACTAATCTTGTTCTTTATAAACTGAATTTAGTTACATATATATATATACATAAACTCATATGACAGCCATTATATTTCCTAAGCTAGTTGCTTTTTTTTCAATGGGATTAACAAAATCACCAAAACCTGGATTCAACCCTAATGGTTTCTACACACCAGACATGACACAGTGTTTCCTAGGGTAACTCAATACGTTTGCAAAAAAATTACTATTCACATCAGTGGCAATTCACTTGCAAATGAAAGTTTAGAAAACTGCCAGATGCTTGATGAATTATGCTGACACAACTTGAAAATGGGCAATATGGAGGAGGAACAGCCAATTCCAAAATGGCTATAGCTATATTGTACACACCACGAAAATTCAATTCCTCTGAAATAGACTCCCATATAATTTGTTTTAGTTTAGAATCTTTGTAGCTGTTATTATTTTTGTCATAAAGTTCTAAGCATTTCCTTTTACTTCAAATAAATATTTCTTCCATTTTGCATATATGATACTACTTCAACCATGTGGACCATGCACTCTAAACTTGTCCTCTGATTGTGCAGTCCCTAAATTGTTACAAAAAAGAATCAAAAAAAATAGGATTCATTATTGATCCAGTGTTGCCCCAATATCACCTGTTATTTGGCGTAGTGTGTGAAAGGCACTTATCAAAAGTATATGATCTATTATGATCACATAATTGTTTGTTGCATATCTGCTATGAATTTTTTTCTAGAATAAAAGAATTATAAGATAATTTTCTTACAAGATATTTTTATAACATAAAATTCAAGTCTTTGACCTCATCTCTAGCTATTTCATCATCATATTAGCACAGATAAAGCATACCTGCTTCTCTCAGTCTATCTCCTGTATTTCTTGTGCGACCAGTTCTTTCACTTCCTGCCAAATCCACCAGGGAGAGTTGGTTAATTCTCAGCTGGTCTTTATCCTTCAAAAGTTAAAGATAAAAAGGTAAAAGATTTAATTTCAAATGTTATGGATACATGTTTTAAATTGGATTATAGTAAAAATAAAAAAGATGAAATGACACTGCTTATGTTTTGTTTAGAATTGTTAGCCTGTAATGAAAACAGGATAAACAAGTACTATTATGTAGAAGGATCACATTTTGTCCAGGGGTTAATTGGGATAGTTATGGAATTAACACACCCACTAAGAAAACTTTCCCAATAGATAAAATCTCCTTTTTTTTCTAACGCAGACATTACTCTTATTTATCAGATGATCAAAAAAATAATTGTATCTTTAAGTAAGAACTGCATCATATATAGAATATGTTAAGATTTTTCATTTTTAACAAACATATCATTTATATTAGAAAAGTTGAATATTGCATACTTGAAAAATATCTTTCAATTTTACAATATAAATCAATCAACGGTTCGGATAATTCCAGAGCACTTGAAAATAAGCCTAAACTACAGTTCTTGATGCAGTATATTAGGGACACATTTTTAGCTTTATTTCATTTAAGTTTTTGTTTCCTTAAACTAGACAGGTAAATATAGTCTTACTATATTCTAATTTCCTGAATAAAATATGATGTAATTTTGCTATTGAAGTTAATGTTCTGTTCTTTCCATCACGTCTTCAATTATGAAAACATCAAGAAAAGAACACAACAAACTTCAATTGTTGAAGGTGGGCTAAAACTTATATTACCCTCTTTTTTATGCATTTATTTAATATGTATGTAACAAAACATTTGTTAAGCTTTGTAATAATCAATGTCAAACAAAAACCTCTACTGTGTTTCCAAAAATTTGGGAAAACTAACTAAAGACAAATTAATTTGTGTTTTTCAAAATTCATAACATTCACAATGAATATGATTAATTGAAAAAAATTTATATTTATTACATTCAAAAATGTACAAAATATTAGCATCTTTATTCTACAAATAAAATATATATAAAAACTGCTCTAGATATTTTAAATCATACAAGCTTAAAATTAATGCTATTTCCAAAGCATTGTCTCTTTGTGTAACTAAATCTTCAACTTTAGTGACTCCATGGATAATGACCAATCTTTTTCCAGAAAAAGAGTAATACACATTGGAACAATAGCTGAAGTTGTGACTATCCAAGATAAGTTTTCAATAATTGAAGTAGAATAAGACTTATCAAGTTATCACATTCAAAGTTAATTCAGGCACTGAGTACACAGGGATTACACCTTCAACCATTAAACAAGGCAAAGAACTTCAAACATTCATATATCACCAAATAAAGGTTATATTTCACATCGTATACATAGTAAGTAAGCACATTTTGTTTAGCACTCCTAAGATTAAACACAAATTGGCATAGTTATTCATAATTAATATGAAATAATGGGAACTGATCCAGAATCATATTATTTAGTATTAATTCCCAAGGTCTGTAAACATTATAAAGGTAATTTAATTTCATAGAGAATTAAGTTACAATGGAGGCAGATGTTAACACACCATTTATAATAGAATATACTAAATAGCTCATAGAAATCAGTTTGAAATTCTACTTGTTGAAAAGGTGATAAATGCTAGCCACATATCAAATACATACATGCTCTGATTGATGTTTGTTTTTTATCAGGTCATTATCTTAATACACTAAGATAGGATAGCTTTAGAACTTGTAGCAAGTGATCTGGAAAGCATTTCTTTTTTTAACACTTACAATAAAACAATATAAACAGCACCTGAATGACGAGTCACGCCTGATATTACTTTTTTAAAATAGCTTCCTACTTGTGTTTACTACATTAAAATAGTACATATGTCATTAATAACCAGATATCACAAAAACTGTTGAAAACAAAATTATAAAAATGTACAAGTTATGTTTTGTAACAAAACCTACAATTTCTTATATTTTATTCTAAGAACCCTTGAGTGAAAACAAAGTATGACTATTCTGTAGTTAGGAGCAAAATTTCTCACCTGTAAAACTTCAGCACCTTGAGAATCTAGAGGAGCCTGGACCAATCGTATATTAAACACACTGTGACTTCTACTAGATTCTGTGTTTAAAGCAGTATGTGCTACCCTCCTACGCCGCTGACCTTTACAGAAGGCTTCAAAAGCCTCATCTGAAGACTTAACTTCCAGCTCAGTAACTCCAAACACGTACATATCATGGTTAGAATCTTCTCGTAAGATCCTAGATTGTGGAGGTCTACAAAAAATTATTAGAAAAAGTCTAATCTGAGTGCCTCATCTTTGCATAATGCCACTAAGAGTCATATTCTTACTTTGAAGCAAACAAAGTTTATGACAGAAGCATGTAATCAAACAAGTGTTTAGTAGACTAACTGAACAGAGAACTACTTTCTCCAAACCTGAAACAAACTATATTTATATGCAGAATAAAATATACTGTGATGAAAAAAAATGAGTCAGCTATTTTTGGAAATAGCTGTTACCATCAGCAGAACTATCATTACACTGAAAACTCAGCCTAATTATTCTCCAAAGGAAGAGAAGAAGCATAATTACTAATATTAGAGGAGGCAGGGGGGGGACAATTTCTTTCCAGAATATTATATTTCTAGAGCTATCATCTTTGTTCTGAATAATACAAGAACCTTATAGAACTTAGGTCATGAAAATGTCTCAGCTAAGCCTTTTACTTACATTGATGAAGAAGAAAAAAAAATCTCTATAATATTAAGGCACATTATACTCTCTCTAAAACCGAAAGAAGTTTGTAAGAATAATCAAATATTTATGGATAAAAAAACAAGTCAACCAGTTTGTACAGCAGCTGTCACTATCATCACATTGAAAACTTTGCTTATTTTATACTTCAAAGGGAAAGGAAGGGTAAAAAAAAAAAAATGTTTCCAGAGCATTATATTTCTTGGACCATTCTCTCTAATGGTGAGTATGATGGATATTATGTAAAAGTTATAAAAATATGCTAAAACTAAATTAGAAAAAGATTTAAACAAGAGAAACAAAACTATCTGTATAAACAGATGCAAGAAATGTAACATTTTAGAAAAAATTTAATTATTTCTGTGCATCTTACTGTTATCAATTAATTCTGTGAAAACAATGTGACTATGAAAAATAACAAATTCACTTCAGTTCAGGAAATTATTTTGTGGTAAATTAGTTTAATTTTATACTTGAAAAGAATTATCAAAACTATATTAGACTTTTACATACAGTACTTGAGCACAAGATATATAACATTATGATGTTAAGCCCTTACAAGATTTATTAGATCTTGCTATAATGGTTCTTCCTCTAAACAATGATGGTCATATGTTATCTTCAGTCAATGTGAAACAACAAAAAGAATGAATGACACTACTCGCAACATCTTTTTTTTTTAATTAGGCAGATAGTGTAAAGTTAGTACATTTTATACCATGTTTTCATAAACTCAATCTCCCAATTCAAAATAGCCACCATTTTACAAATTCCATGAAACACGTTTATTTAAGTCTTACACAACTATTACTCCAACAGAAATAGAATTGGACAAATAATCTTACTTTGGTCTTATGGGATCTATAGGAACATCCTCTAACAGATCATAGATATAATTGTTGTAAATCTCTATGTATGATACAAACACAGAGAAGACATTGTCTTGGTCTACAACATTGATGACCGTTTCATCTGGTATTCGTTGAACCCATTCAAACTCTGCATCTCGTCTGTCAATAAACAAGATTTATTAATGATTTTAGTTAAATTTGTCTTAAAAATAGTAATGAGATAAATACTGTATTAACTATGCCTGACAAGTTTATTTAGTCTTTCATAATCACATTTTGCCAGAAGCTCCATCTAATTTTCTTTTTTTGTTATTGTTTGAAACAATTGCTACAGAAAGGAAATAAATATTTAGGCTGTTGTTTAAATTGAAAGGAAATAAATATTTAGGCTTCAGTTTAAATTGCACATAATTTCTTTTTTGAAACTACTGATATGCATGTATTTTGCCAAAAAAAAAGTTCTTTTCAATGATATAAGTCACCTAACAGTCTTACCGAAAACCTTCACATTTATTCTTGAAATAAAAGTTATTATACAATCAATATTTAAAATGTGGTAATGAATAAAGGTATATTTCTAATATTTTAGAAGTTGAGACTTCATAACCTGCAAATAAACTAACCCTACATGCACAAGGTAAGTCTATTGGACTGAGTCCATATTGATGAATTAATGTTTACTATAAATTCTAGCTCCAAATTTACTTAATGTATCTTGATGACATTTGGTAAACTTTCAGTAAAAATTACAAATATGTTGTACACAAAAAATTAACATTTAGAATGGTGTTTCAACTATAGATTTGTCACTAAATTTGCTTTAGTCAGTCTGACTCAAACTGACTGGTCTGAATGCATGGTGATTTTCATGTTAAAAATAAAAATACTTTTTTCGTCTTACAGTTTTCAGATTTCATATATCTAGTCTCTAGAATTTCCTAATTGAGTATCAAGTTTCTTTGTTCAGTAAGATCTTATACTTCTGTTATTTTCTCTACCCTAATGCTATATCAAATCAATCCATTTGACCAACCTTGTAACTACCACGAAAAAACATGAAATAAATCTAAATTTCTCCTCTTTTCTTTCTAGCATGATTGCAGATTGTAACAGAAAATTACAATTACTTATCCTAAACAACCTTAGGCTTGTAACAATTTACACCTGTTTTCATTCATTTTTATTGTCTTATTGCTCTTTGAACTGTATAAATACCTCAAATACCAATAAATCACCCAGCAGGAGTGCAGAGAGTTTCAGGTGGACAAAATTTCAGGTTATCTCATACAACATCTAACTACATATGTTCCTCATGCATTCCTCGAAGCAAAAAATTTTATTATCTTTTCCACTTAAATTGTTTTAACTAAGCTAATAAGTATTTAATTTTTGTTATTTTTTATTGAAAAAGATATGTTAAAAATAACAAATTCAGCACTTATTTCAGTATTGAGGCCTTTTGCTTTCAGAAGCTGATCTTTATTAAACCCTAAATTTTGATCACTAAGTTGGCAATCCAAAAAAATAATTAATGTAGCCTTCAAATATGCAAATAGTAAAACAGACTGCCCCCAAACTATTACGATTTATCTGGTTTTCTAACTGACCTATAAAAAGGTTTAAAATTTTTCATTACTTACCAGAGCAGAGCACCAACTTCTGCTTGCAAAATGATGCCTCTTACCAAAATAAACTAACATAGAGATGTTTTAATCATGTAGTTCATAACTGGTTGTGATAATGTACTATTGATAAATAAGTAATTTCAAAAACATGAAGAGTTGGGAGGAGCTTCTGTAGTAGGTGTAACAAACGTATAGATATCTCAGAAAATAATGATGGTGGGGAGTTTTTTTTTTATTCTGACCTGTCAATATCTATAGTTGATGTGTCTAGTTGGTAGACATTTTGAAACCCATAAAGGGAAGAAAAATAATTAAAACAGAATTCAGAGAAGAGAGGCATCATGTGACATCCGGAAGTGAAGAGTGAGAATTCATTTAAATATTTCCTTTTAAATTGAGAAACCACAATTTGAGTTATAAACTATATTTCGATGCCAAGTTTATTAACATACACTGATAAGAAAGGTGCTTAAATTTTGAATGTAGCTCTGTAAAAGTTATGTGCACACTGATTCCCACCCATGTACATTAGGGTTAAAGCATAATATCCTTAGTTGGAGAAACAAAATATGCTCAAGCATCAAATTAACAATTGTACTTAATTTTCCTTAGATACTAATAACATGCCAGTCATGTAACTGTACATACTGTTCTATTAAAATACCATTTACATGAGTTTAACAAATTTAGTTGTGTACAGTTTAAAAAGAAATAATTTTAACCATTTGCTGATATTTTTTCTTACCATCAGACTTAATATGCAGTTCACGGATAAAAAGGTTTCAAACAAAAAAAATTAAAAATTATTTATTACAGTTTTATAGCTGTAATGTGAAATACATAAAAGCTCATGCTAGACAACAAAATCTAAGTAGGTACAAAATCTCTTATGAAAAATTGGAAGTTAAGTTTGAATGAAACACTTTTAGAGTATAGTATGAAGCAAGATAACATCATGAAATACAGAAAGTTTAACAAATTATTCAAATTATTGAGTACTTTTGACCAGCTGCCCCTTCATTAGGAGTAGTTTTAATAAATATACAAATGATTAATTTCTTTCGTATTCAAATTATGAATAGTTCTAGTCACTTGTATAAGCTACGATACAGCTTAACTAGTAAATAATTAAGTGTGTATAAGCTATGATACAGCTTATACTGGTAAATAATTAAGTATGCATTTCCCACAAAGGATATAAACATCCAGATACTTCAGTATCTCTATTTCTGCAATTTCAACTTACCTTTTAGCTCTTGGTGTTTTAGGAGTCATTGTCATCAACTGACTTTGTTCTACCATTGCTTCAGCTTTTGTTTGGACATCAAAACCATTCATCTTATCAGATTTAAAAACCTACAAATACAAAATAACTATTATTTAGTAAGTGGTATAAACACCAAATAACAGATTTTAGAAAAAAAAAGTTTTTCAAATGTTTAAAAACATAAAAACAATACAATATTTAGATAAACTTTGAAAGTGTTGGTATTTCAGCTTGGATCACCAATTATCATAAACTTCTCATCAAAACAAACTACCAACTTAGATCAGAACTAAAAATTAACTCAGTAATTAATATAGCTAATCCAATATACTAATTTATAGTCATAAAATAAAAAGTTATAATGATTAGAATACATTATTTCATTAGGTGATTACCCTTGCTGTTAGCAATATTTTGATTATTTTTGGCCATAATTCCACGATATCTCAAATGGTTCTACCAGTTTAGATAAGTGTAATAAACCCCCAGACAATTCATTAAACATACTATAAGCTGTGTCTAATACAACTAATCTGACTTTATCTCCTAAAAACATGGTCAATTTACTGAGAAGTAACAAACCCTAAGAACTACCCAAAATGTATACATGTTAATAAGATACAAGAACACAGCAATAATAAGAGTTCAACAAAGTACCAATAATGATAATTAAAGTAAGTAATAGAAACTAATTTAATTGAACTGGTGACATAACAGTATACTAGATATTAAACTAGTGTGAGGGAAAACCAAACAGTGGTCACATATCTAAATTTGTTCATTATTACCTTAGTAGTCAGTTAAACTAAGATATAGACATGATAGCAAAAGTTTGAAAATGGGCTTAAAACCATTTCTTTTACAAAAATAATTAATTAAAATAAAAATACTTTTTGTAATTTGTATGTTAGGAAGATTAAAAAATTATAAAATGTGTAATACACTAAAAATTCATTTAAAAACCTGATCAACAGTTTCAAATATTGTCAAAATTACACAAACTGCTCTATAAACTAAAAGTTGAAGTGAACTAGCTAGCAATTTATTTACTATTATTTAACAAATTCACATTAATTACATGCAATATGAGTTAAGTAAGAACAGCAAGACAGTAAAAATACAAACTGGAGAATATCAGGTAAGTAGTTCCCATGTATTTGAAGATCAAAATAGGAGATATTCTACAACCTCGGATCTCACAAAAATAGAACACCTGAATTTTACCCCTGGATAACTGGAAAGTTTCTAAAATTTTTATCTTAAAATCACACAGAAAATGCATGTTATGCCTGCATACCACACTTATATATTTTAAGTATGCATTTCTAAGTTTGTAAATATGTGTATATAATCATGTATGTTGGTGTACTTTGGTGACAGATTTTCTTGTAGGCAGATTTTGTTAAACAAGATCGATGTCTGTAGGTTTACTTTCTTCTTAGAATTCTTCTCAAGAAGACGATAAGCCGTCTTAACTTTGTTAGAACAACGGGTAAAAGTTGTAGATAGTGATGAGTTGTATGTATGAGTTGAATCATGTATGTATACATTTATACTTATATTCTAATGCTCATTGTTTTATTACTATTACAACAAACCATATAGTGTTAAGAAAGTGTCTGTATGCATGCTGATATTTAAGACCACATTGTTGATTTTGCTTTGAATGAACATCAGTGGTTAGTTTTCCTAAGATTACCTTTGTATTCAATAACAATTTCTTTTTTAGGACTAATTATTCAAATACACTAAGACTTTCTGGTTCTATAATTACTAAATTACTAGTTAGTTGCAACCATTAATTATGAATGTTTAAAAGTTATTGTGGTAGTTACAAGGAACACGTATGCTTACACATCTTTGAGCCTGAAGATCTCTGATGCTGTTAAATATGACATCCAAACATCGTGGAAGAATTCCTCCATCCTGTGGAGTCCCTGTCATTGTGTAGGTCTTTCCAGATGAGGTAATTCCATATGTAAAGAGTAAACCTAAAAAAAAAAGTGAAAAACATAAGAAGAAATTACTAAACTGTTCAAGAATGTGATCCTAATTTCACATACACATAAAAAAACTCACTTTCAAAATACATCTAGAATGAAACTAGCTATTAATTGTATAGTTGTCCATCAATAACTAAAACTATAGATAAATATTTTTATCCATATCATTTTCCAATAAGACATTTTAAAAAATTACCAAATATTAACATTCACAATTGAAATGGATATATTCATAGCTTTTGTAAAGTACTGTAAGAAACAACAATGCTTTGACTCTTATGAACATTTACAGTAAACACCAAGTTGCAAACAATATTTAATGAATCACAGTTTCATATGACTTTAAAAGTTACAAGTTTAAATGGCAAAACGTGTAAAAAATAGCATTTCAGATCTTTTTCTCCCACAGGTTAATGTCATATAAGCTTTTTTATTCGAAACCAGAACTCAATTGTTTTTCGTATGGTTAACTGAAATCAACATTCTTAACTGGTATAATTAAATTTAATTAAACAAGTTACTCTCTTACACCATGTATTCTACCATACAACAAAAACTGTTACCTTAAGTAAAAGTTTTATGCTTTTCTTTTATGTTACTCAGCAAAACTAAGTATGTCATTATCTGACCAATACATGATGACCCCTTGAACCTTGTCAATTATTATTCAATGTGGGTGTGCTAAAAAGCATGAATAAAAATTATTCATTTAAACACATCAGAGGAGCAAAAAAAGGAATGTGCAAGTGATGTTGTAACAACAAATACATGAAGGTTAAAACAACAAAACAAATTCAATGCACAAAATCTTCCATATTATTTCAACAACAGTCTTAACTGAGTCTAAAGACAGACCTTGATCAGAAAAGAGGAAATGAGAGAAAACATAAAATGAAATCAGATATGCTTATTGTAAAACATTTAGAATAATACCCAAAAACCAGCAAGAAAAAACACAGCAAAATAAAACCAATGGACTTCAGAAACACACTGAAGTATGACAGAAAATATATTAGCTAAAACAAATACCAAGAATGACAGAAAATGCGATGGCTAAAACAAATACAAAGACTAATGTATTCAAGGGTACTAATTCTTACAATGGCTGGATCTATTTCGAAATGCAATAGAAATTAATAAACCAAATAATAAACACGTACAAAAATTTAAACATAAGTAATGAAAATAAAAATAAAATTTCATTAATTATAGTCAACAAATGGAAGAAAAAAATAGGTTTGCTCAACCTAAAAGTCTGTTTTCATACACAAAACCTTGAAGAAAGGTAAACCTTAAATGATTAAATTAGTTTTAGTAAGTTATAATTTTCAATTGTTATTAATATTTTATTTATGCCAGAGGGTAAAAGAATCATATGACTGGCTAAAGAGAAAAATTGTTTCTCTTATCGGAAGGAGACACCAAATAATTATTTGGTTTTTTTGCTAGATCTCTCAATAATGTCATTCACAGGCCCTTAAGTGAAAATAAAGTTTCAATAATGCTGCAATCAGTATTTATTCAAACCAATAATATTTTAGTGACTAATTACAGAAAGAAGAAAAGCATTCCACTCGTTAGTTACAATACCACTCACAAGAGCTGGGCAATTTAATCAGTTAATCTGTTACCGGAGCAGTAATTACATCAATTAGTGTCATGTAAACTAACTGATTAGTCAAAATTTCTGTTATATTTATTGTCATGAAAATAATCAACTAATCAAAATTAGGGCTTCTGATTATTCCAACTATCCAAGTAACTGAAATATTGCTATCATCATGTTTGTTTGTTAAGTACAAAGCTACATAATGGGGCTATCTGGGATCTGCCCACTTTTATCCTCATAATAACTTGTTTTTACTTCAAGTTTGTTCAGCTATGGTGATGTGGGAGGGGGGTCATGATTTTAGGGTTCTTGGACTTGATTGTTATTGTAACCAAACTTGCTCACCCTATCTGTTTATTACGTCAAAGCTACTAAGGCTATCTGCAACTGTAATTAATGGAACTGTTGATTAATTGATTAGTAAATACTGAGAATCATGTAATCAACTTCATATGGCCTTATTAATGTAATACAAAATTTCAACCAAAATATTCTTACTGTAAACTTTAATAAAATAGATTAAGATATTCAAAATAACGGATTCAGGGAGTTTAGATTCATATCATAATACTGGAAGAAACATGTTTTAAAGAAGAATTATACATGAAGCTAAGTTACACAAAAATTCAAGCACACTTTCAAATGTTGCTAACAATAACACAGTATGCAATGGTTAAAACTGGATTCAAAATCACCAAATTTAGGTCCTTTGGAAATATGTAAATAGGTTCTTACTCCAAAAATGGCCTGGATAAAATTATGCATGTATATTTCAAAATAAAAATGTCATTAAATGCAGCATATTTACTTGGTCGGTACTGTATTTGTAACTACATCTTAAGTAACGTTTACTTACCATTTTTGCCACTGACAAGGTCTGATACAAGAGGTAAGGCAACATTGTCAAATAAGGATTTCTGAGAGGTATTTTCATCAAACACAAACCTATAGGTATACTGAATCTGTGAAACAGAGAAGTCTGTTATTTCAGAAAGGTGTAACACTTCCCCTATAGCAGTTTCATAACGAGATAAGAATAGCTTATGCACTAAACTGAACAAAGCTACACTAAATTAAATATTGAAGGTAATGTATTTTTCTTTCTAATAAAGTTCAAGAACTATCAAAAAGATGAAGTTATCACAATGTTATTTATACCATAAAAACAAGATTATAAGAAAACAGTGTTAAAGAAAATATATTAGATAATCTGTTATGGAATCAAGTATGAAGAATTTTACAATAATTCACCTCCTTTGAATTGTTTTTATGTGCTAAAGATCCACCTGGTGGTACTAGTTGCACAACAGTATTGCTAAGTGGAGTCACACACACAAAGTCATTCTGATTTTCTAGTGGACGTAAACGACAGTATACTTCAACTGGGTCTTTTACTGTATTTTTTGGAGGTTTTGGTGGAGGCTTCTTAGGAGTCTTACCACGTCTGTATCGTACACAAAAACAAAAAAGGACATGTTAAATTCTTTCACTCTTAATATGCCCAGAAGCACAAATTGACAATGCAATAACACTGACACATCTTGTGCAATTAGAATTCTTCTCAGAATTTATTTTCAGCTTCAAGAAACAAGATCTCAAGTAGATCAAAATGTATATGATTTTACAGGTGTCAGTATGTAGTACTAAAAGTGTGGTATAAAGAACACCAATATTTAAGAAATATACAAAAATGTTTATATGTCAAAATATACTGTGTGTTTGACTAGCTCTACCTAGTAATCATTTTAAATTTTTATAAAGTGCCACACAAAAAAAATCACATCAATAGGGGGTTGAGTAAAGACCAGTTAACTGAAATGTATGGTGGTTGGATGGGAGAAAGCAAAAGGTTATTATCAATGGAGTTCAATTAAATTGAACACTTGTAACTAGTCATGTGCCTCTGGACCAGTGCTTAGGCATTAATTTCTTATCTTCATTAATGATGTTGATATAGATATAATTTTAAAGTTTGCTTATGACATTAAACTTTTTAGTATTTCTAGATGTATTAAAGATGTTGAGGTACTACAGACTTGGATCAATTGATCAGTTGGACAAATCAGATGGATGCCCTTTAATAACAGTGCAAGTTAATTCATTTGGACCACATGTTTAATATAGGTGAGAGAAAACATAAGAAAATCAAGAAAGTTGGTGAAACAGGAAATTAGGACATCCAAAAAGACGTATGACAAAAGGTTAACTGAATATGTAAAAATTAACAGTAAGGATTTCTTTAAATACATTAAGGGTAAACAAAATGTTAGGATGGGGTAAGATCCTTGAGGGATGATAAAGAAAGGCTTGTATATGATGATTATGAGATGGCTAGGTTATTAAATTTTGTTTTTTCTTTGGTTTTTACAAATGAAGATTTAAGCAGCATTCCACATCTTGACCAGCTGATAGGTGGAAACAAGATCGAACAAGGTGACTGCATAAATTCTGAGCTGGTTAAGGAAAAAATGAGAAGTTTAAAGAATGATAAGGCTCCTGGGCCAAATAATATTTACCCAAGGGTTTTGAATGAGATTAAAGATTGGATATGTGAGCTACTTGCTACAATTTTTTGTCAATCCTTGGAATATTGGGCAGGTACCAGAGGATTGGAAATTAGCTAATATAACTCCTCTTTTCAAAGAAGGTAATAAAAATCGTCCCAGTAATTATACTCATTAGTCTTGCATCAGATGTGTGAGAAGTTTTGGAAAGCCTGTTAAAAGACACTTTGCAGTTATTTAACAAAGTTAGAACTTTATTAGATAGTCAACATGGTTTCACTAAGGAAAAATCTTGCTTTACAAATATTTTAACATTCTTTGAAAAGGTTATTGTTTATATAGATAAGGGTAAGTGTGTAGATTTGGTGTATCTGGATTTTCAGAAAGCATTTGACAAGGTGCCACAAAAAGGCCTGTAAAAAAATTATCTCTATAGGTGTGGGGAATAAGTTATCAAATTGGATTAAAAAATGGCTGTATGGAGTTCAACGTGGATTAATGTCACAAGTGGGGTACCTCAGGGCAAAGTCTTAGGACCTTTGCTCTTTTTTGATTTACATCAATGACATAGATGAAGAAATGGTCAATGAATTACTTAAATTTGCAGATGATATTAAGGTCTTGGGTGTTGCTAGCTGTGAAGAAGATGCTGATGATTTACAAAAGGATTTACATCATTTAGTGAGTTGGGTAAATAAATGGCAAATGGATTTTAATTATAATAAATGCAAGATAATGCATGTTGGTTATCATAACTTGAATTATAAGTATAATTTGGATGGGAATAACTATAACAGTGTCATGAAAGAAAGGGATCTTGGTGTAATAGTTGATCAGTCACTAAAGCCATTCAAGCAGTGTGCTGTTGCTAGTGATAAGGCAAATAGGATTTCAGGTTGTATCTACAGAAATATTGAATACAAGTCTAAAGAGTTTATAATTTCATTGTATAGGTCACATTTAAAATATTGTGTTCAGTCTTAGGCTCTTTAGGAAAGGCATTGAATTGTTGGAAAGGGTTCAGAGAAGGGTACCTGGGATGGAGGGGTTGAAATCTCTCAAATTGTTTTCTCTTGAAAAAAGCCAAGTTAGGGGGGGGGGGGTCTAATTGAGGTGTTTAAGATTGTAAAGGGATTTGATAGTGTTGATGCATCATCTTTTTTCACACTTAACAGTAAGAATAGTAGGACTAGGGGACACAAATATAAATTTTGACAGGATATGAACCATCTTCAGCTAAAACAGTTTTATTGTTCTAACAGGGTGGTTGGCCTTTGGAATGGGTTGCCTTCAGATGTTGTGGAGGCAGTAGATTTAAGTGAGTTAAAGAAAAAGGTTGATAAGTATATGAATGATAAGGGCTGGCTATGAGATTTTTTAAAATTTATTTATTAATAATTTAGTTTAAAGGATGGAACAGCCGAGATGGACCATTAGGTCCCATGTTGTCCCAAAACATTATGTTATAACTGAAGAAAAGGATTTTGGCGCAGTCACTCAAACCACCAAGTCAGTGCTCTGTTGCTAGAAGTAAAGCTAATTGAATTATAGTTTATTTGTAGACATACTGATTATAAATCAGAAGAGGTAATTATCTTTCTATCTAAATCACTAGTTAAGACTCACTTTGAATACTTTATGTATACATTTTTGGTTTCCTTATCTAAAAACAGATACTGACTTATCAAAAATGGTTCAGAAAAGGCCTACGACAATGAATACAGGAATGGAAGGATTATCTTACAGGATATGTTAAGATTTCTTTCTCTCTCTTTAGCAAAGGGTAAGAAGTAATTTTATTGAAATTTTAAAGATCTAGAGGATTTGTAAAATAAAGGCCTCTGATTTCTTTAAGCTATATTCTTAAAAAAATAGGACAAGACAAACACAAGATTTGGAAAAAGACAGACTATGATCCAGTTAAGACAGTTATGTTTTTAACAGGATGATTAGCTTATGGAATTAGTTGCTATCAGTAGTAATAGAAAATAGCAATGATTTCTTTAAAAATAAAAGGTGGGTTTAAATTTATAATTTCTTTCAAGGATGGATGTAAAGAACAGCCTTGAACTTTGAAGGACCAAATGGATTTACATTGTTTATAGTTTATGCTATGGCAAAATCACACACGGCATTTTAAACAGGACTAAGACTTTTAAGAATAGATTTAATATTATGAAAGTAAAAAAAAATTGCAGCTACAGTTCAAAAAATCCTGAGAACACATAAATGGTTGAACTCATTTAATTTTCAGATAATACTATTATCATGCATTACAATGTGCTACAACTCTGAGATGGCAAACAAATGTCTGATCAAGGTCTACAAAAGTATCGCTCATTTTATCTAAATTTGTTTCAAGTAGGCTTTTTCTCAATTTAGACCCAGCGGTGTAGGAAAGGTCAAGATAATAAAAGACCTCTAGATCATATTGTTGAACTAATGACTGATATAATTTCATTTTGAGGATGGTGGGTGCAACTTTATTATTATTATTATTATACGTATTGGACATAATTGTTAGATATAATGATTTCAATACAATTTTTGGACCTATTTTATAAATGTATGGTTTTAATATTTAAATAGTTGGTACTATAGGTATGCATGCCCATTGCGTATATAGTCAAATGAAAACAACTACATAACCATCACTCAAGCAATCTCATTTTGACTATATACATGCCCATTTCAAAATTTTATCTATTACTAGTTGCAACTAGGTGAGATACAATGTATGCAATAAACCACACTTTTTAATAAAGATTAGGTCTACTTCATAATTAGCTCTCATTCAAAATAAAATTTAAACAGATCTTTTATTTCAGGATCTAGATCCACCTTTTAAACTTTATAAAAACATATTATTTACCTCTATATCATATAAATGAAAGTTAATAAAAGCTGAACTAAACTCACATCTTTAAGTACCTGAATTTTGAGCTGTCGTTTCACTCAATTCCTTTACATTAATACTATTATTATTAACAGTAATACCAATACAATAGTTGTACTACTATTATTAATAGTACTAATACTAATAAGTTCTCGTCTTGATCTACAAGAGGCAAATGAAAAAATAAATGTTAAATTTTAAAATTAGATCTAGAGCCTGAATTTTAGGATAGTAAAGCAGGTGAAAGTAAAATACAAATGTTTAATTTTCAAAATTTCATTTTGAACTGATCAACGAATCATTCTAACGGCAACAGTTGTGAAAATCTAATCTTCTAAGTTCGATATTCCTATCAACAAAGAGTAAAGTAGTTAGTACAAAGTAGTATTTAGTAGTACTATTATCAACTTCAGTTACCCAAATTACTAGAACTAAAAGCAGTAATAGTAGTTTTGTACTATACATAATATTAATACAGTACTCGTCAGTAAATACCATGCTATTGTAACGAGCAATGTCTAAAATTGCTCTTTTTTCAAAGGTTTAATGTCATACTTACACGGGTTTCATAACTGAATATAAACTGTCATATAATACAAAAATATTCACTTGAATTTAAGAACACGATATAACTACTTTTAAAATTAAATTTTAATCTTTATTGCATAAAACTGTCTCAGGGATCACGCAACAGTACGAGAAAGTTGTTCAAATTTCCCCACAGCATTAACTCAACCAATCATTTATGAGGTATGTGGCGTCCTCTTTTACAAAATCAATGACAAAGAGGAAATGCGTAATTTCCTTATAAAGTATATAAATATAGTATTAATTTTTATTGAAAGTGTTTGTTTTTTTTTCATAAAGGTTGCTAAACATAGCTTTAAATTTTTGGATACGTCGCTTTATATAATACTAACAATTAATGAGAATCAGTTTTCTTTTGATAATTTGTTAATGTGCGTTTGGCACAGCGCATTGAGCTCATTGTGCAGTTTTAGCTTAAATTACCAACAAACAAACAAAATATCCGTTTGTGTGCGGGATTGTGTTATTGAACGAAAGGCCTCTTGAGCAGCAGTGACTTGTGTCAAATCTGAAATGTTATTTTTGTTATGCTATTTTTTACATATCTCTGTTTTTAAATAAGTAATTATTTTCGGCGTTTAACACGAGAATTTTAAATATATTCTATTTCATCCGACAGGTTTTATAAAATAAAGCTTTCCGTCAGGCTTGCTTATTGTTATTTTGTTAAGCACAAAGTTACATGTGATAATGGGCTATCTATAGTGTGACCACCACGGGTATCCAAACTCAGTTTTTAGCACTATAAGCTTTCATATATACCGCTGAGCCACTGGGAGACTTCTATCAGGCATAACTAAAAGTATGTTTGTAAACAATCGGATTAGCCTACATATGAAAATTATAAGTATAAAAGAAGTAACACAAGCAGAAAAAAGAATAGCAATATAATGTTATTTTAAAAATTATGTTAAATGCAGATTTTTGTGTTTTTCTCACAAAGTATTATAATGAATATGTATTTATTTTGGTAAAGTTTGAAAAAAACCTTTATTCTTCAAATAATTAAAAACCATTTTTATTGCAACCAGAGTTTCACCATTGCGGTTTTATCACGGTTATTAGTACAAGAACTGTTTATATAGCGTTTCAGATAATCTCTTGTTTCTCATCGTACGGCCCAACTGACAAGTTCTGATATTGTACCAAAGGCCTCTGGGAATGACTTGTGGAAGACATGATAGATTTGTAATGCCATTTTTACATGCCTGGGATTTTGAATCCCCAGTGTATAAATTAATAGGAATTCAATTTTAGCCTTCAGAATACTCGAGGTAGTAATGTAATAAGTTTTATTATTAAACATGCCACAGTATAAAAGAATTATGACGGCATGTTACAAAATAACATATTTCTATGAAAAAAAATTATAACAGTATTTGTATTTATGGCAAAAACTACCATGACCATCTACCACCATCCCTAATTTTGAACCACTGAGCAGAAAGACAGTGACGGCTCAAGAGCGGCTTGGGCCCCGGGCAGTAGGAAAAGAAAGCTCCCCCCCCCTCCAATTATAGATATATTAATCTCTAGCGAACTGAGTGAACTTCACTGCCAAAATCATAATGTGAAGCATATACATGCGAGAACATTTTAATGTTATACATAGCCTTGTAACACTGGAAACAATATAGACAAATCACAAACGTGTGCAAACACATTATATTCGCTCATGATTCACGAATGATCATGAAGACAACTTGATTAGAACTTGCATGTACCTGAATAAAGCTATAATTGTCTTTTTTCAGTTTTTTTTTCTCGTCAATGAGTTTCGAAAAGTCTATGTTCATTATAGACAGACTGTTTAGTTGGTTTTGTTCTATTCTGTTCTTAATCTCACTTTATATTTGTTTCAATTTCGAAAACGATCGCTACAGTTTGATACCATCATGGACAAGTATATTCTCAGCATTAGGAAATGTTTGGATAAGGGTGTCCATGGAGAAAGAGGAACGTTCTTAACTCCACTGATTCTGTTGGTTCAGAATGTGTGAATGAACGTTGAAGCCTTGGAATTGCCAATGTGGAAAACTGGATCAATTCGTTTTCTATCTCGGTTTCAACATCGTTCGGAAAAGAACGTACAAGACATTTTGCGGCCTTGTTGGTTTTTTGAAATGAAAGAGATTATAATTTGGAAAGGAATCCAAATAAGGTGATAACATCCTTGTATGCATCAAGACGGTATTTCAATACAGTGACAAGTTGGTCGACCACAACGAAACGTAATTCAGTTCTGAATGTATCCTTGGGTGATACTATGGTATCCTCTGCATCTCCATCATTATGGCGACAGTTGTGCTTCTGAACTGAGTTTACTCACTATGACCACATAGTTCAGCACCTCGGTCATCGAATTCGTCAAACCTTGTTCTCTGATCTTCAACTTTTTAAATAATTCAAGGTTAGATTAGATAAAATAAATAATAATATAATATAAATCTTTCACGAGGTACAGTCGCAAATAGCTCATGCTTAGTGTAATTCGAGAGGTAACATGAGCTGCACGTTCACCAGCGATTTACACCTTATAAGGGCCCCAATAGAAGTTAGTACACTGTTAAAGGGGCAATAAAATGTAAGTATAAATAGATGTATACTGTTACAAGTTTATAACTATTTATAATAAAGAAATGTAGTTCATGTTACAATTAGAAGTCATTCTAGAAAGAAAAAAAAGGTGATTTAGATTTATTTCGATTTGTTTTTTGTGGGTACGAGGTCGGTCAAATTGACCAGTCCTGTATAGAGTTAGAGTAGAGGAATTAACAGATAAAATATGAAGTTTTACTTATCAAAAATGTTTGAAATATATTTAAGAGATTTTAAAAAGATTATACAATTGAAATTTGAGACTTTTAAGACGAAGAAAAATATTTTAAATCTTGACTTAAATATTACTTTGCACGTTGTTAAGTTAATATATCTAAAACTGTTGTGGTACCTCCCCACAAGTATCAGATAGATGGATCCACAATAACTACACGTTCATTCAGGAAACGAGGAGAGTGATTCGGATCAGATAGCTTTACATAGTCTTCTTAGTGTGCGTAAAGTAATCAGACTGAACAAAGTTGGTAAAAATGAAAACAATATTGATTACTGAGCAAACAAAAAAAAATGCAAGGTAAGTACCTGTTCACAAAAAAAGACAGCCTTCCCTACTGGGCTTTGCTTAGTCCTACAGCTTTCTTATTCTCAGGATAAACTTCAGTCAAACTAATAACGATAATCTTAAAAGCAAGTCTTTACTCTGTAAACTCCTAGCAGAACTATCTAAAAAAATTGCACTTGAATTCAACAGGTAAACTCGCTTTCTTTGTTCTGTCAACAACATCACCTCTTGATCTTTATTCCCTCACAGCATTGGTCAGATTTTACATTCAGTCAACGTTATAATTACCTAAAAAAGTTTATTACAGTGCCAATCCTTTTAACCTGGATGCCATATATTAATGTAATATCCTTTCAGGCAGAAAAGACATCAACTATTACAAAGAACAAAGACACGAAGCCACTAGAACAAAATAATCTTAATGATTTTCTGGACTACGTGTTGCCACCATTAATTCAAGAAAAATGAATAACAAAAAAAGTTTAAAAATCTCTATATCATTAAATACAGAGGTTGAAAATATATGATATCCCTTTATATCACACTTTTCCTCCCTAACTAATCACACTATTCGTTAAGAGTACTTACATAGATGCTGCTGACTAGGTGGATCCCTTATGTCTGGTAAGCAATACTATTGTTACGACAGCGGAAGTCACGTGACACTGGTGACACGTGATGAATTTCTCGAATGATCATGAATGATCGGGGAGGCCCGAGTGTATTCGAGACCGCCCCCCCCCCCTTCGTTGGTATTTAAGCCTGGCAGAGAAAGCCTGCGGGGATGAATGAAGAGAATTCCGGGTAATTTACGATTCTGTTTCGAGCTAGTGTTTTGCACTCTTAGAAAGCGAAGTTATCGAGATTGTGAATCGCTGTGATTTATAGTGTGTATTATAAAAGTAGTTAAGTTTAAAGTGACGAGGAACGTACTGATTGTGAAATTACAGTGTACTAAAAGTTTGTATCGAGAAAAATAAACTGGGTTAATCAAGAAGGTACTTGTGTCGCTGAAGTTCCTCGGAAAGAATTTATACCGAAAATTCACAAACAAGCAGATACGCAACACTACGTTTAAGACTATTTTGTTATTATGATGTTTAAATGTCAAATCTCCTGTACTATGGTAAAACGTTGAATATATAAAAAACATATTTTCTCAATAATTTTTTATATCCTTGGTTTTAATACTAGTTTCTTTAGCTTTATCATATTATTTATACCTCGTCTCGTGTAACGCTCTTTTCTCGCGTATTGTATTTCTTTTTGAAATTCAGAATGTCCTTCAATAGTTTGTTATCAATTATTAACCAACAGGCTTGTTCTGGCTTGAAAAAGGGCGTTTGCTTCAAATTTCGCCAAGAAAATAAAAATAAAACAATCTCTTCAGGATGATTTGTCTCCCAAAGTCTATTTTTTTATTTCATCACATTCACATGTTTCTGCTTATATATAGTAAACATTTGTACGAGCTTAGGCTTAAGCTCTAATCAAATTGACTTTAAGATATAACCTCAGCAACTAGATCTTACAAGTTACAGAATTTCGGTCAATTTAAAATGATACTTAACATTACATATTTATTACTAAAATTAACTCTGCATGTTTCTTAAATAATGGGTTATCTAGGCTCTGTCCACTACAGTGATTATAGGTTGTAAGTCAGTAAGCCGCTGAGGAACGTTTCTTAAGGCTTAAGTAACTACAAGGTTATTTTAACATAGTAAGATTTGGCTTTTGTTTTTCGTATTTTGTGTATAGAGAACAACAAACTCTAGTTTTCGAAAAATACTGCAGTATCGTCAGTAAGAATAATTAATCTAACGAGTTAAGTTAGCATGTACAAATGTTTGCTACCAGAAAAGTAAACTTATCAATATGGATAAACAAAAATGTTTACCTTAGTTTCCATGGAATTTTTGAAACGTATCTTCGTATACAAGTTTTTAAAGTAGGCCTACTTAACGTTACATTTACGAGAAACAAAGTAATAATGGTTGGAGACGGCTTGTCGAAACGTTGTGCATTTGCTGTTATGTGAAACTTATATTAAAGTTTTTCTTCATTACCTATTCAAGCCGTCTCCAACCATTATTAGTCTCAAAGTGGGTTCCTCGTCATCGAATTTGAAAACAAAGTAACTTTTATTTTAAATATATATATATAAAGCATAAGACAGTCTTGCAGAATAAGCTTAGGTTATGTTAAAACGACAAATATTATAACACTATGTTTAACCTACCGAAGTCCAGCTTTAGTGTTTGACCAGTCACAGTATGACTTTGGACTCCAATATTCTATCGGGAGGAATCTTTTTCTTTGATATCTGGAAGACTTGGGGGTTACTGTTATCCATGGACTAATGTTTGAAGAAGCTTCCAACGGGTGTAAGCTTGTAACGGTTCTCTTTGACATTGTTCAAATTGTATTACTAACTTTTAGTCTTCATAACAACCCACTCTTCCAGTCCAAAAAAACTAAAAATTGCCCTTCTTAAAAATAGGCAACCAACGTTTCTAGAAACTAACGGATGATTTGAAATACAAAAGAACAAAAGAAAACTGACGTTTTATTGTTGCACGAAAAATTATAGTGAAACATTGTTACGTGCGTATTACGTGATATTTTTTTCCCTCACACTTATGTACTACCTAATATTGTGTTTCTATCAGGTAAAACTGTGTTACTGATTACTATTTTAATAAAGGAGCATTAATATAATTGGAAGTATCGATATTCTTCCTAATATATTGTAGATATCCTGATTAGTTTTGGTTGTTTCGGAATGGAGTAGTTAACTTGGAATGGTTTGTGCAATTGTGTGCCAAATTGTTGATACTGGACTGGGCTTATGTTTGTTTTCCCTGATGCTATAGTCGAGAAGTGATTAGCAGCCTTGATCTTCACTTCTTTAGTTTATTTTAAACGCGCAGTCCTCTCTCATTCACTTTGGAAACTTGTAAATAATTATACACAATGATAATAAATAAAGTAAAAACAATGCTTACATAATGAATATGATGTTTGTAGTAAATTGTTCGTATGCCTGTATGTAGGCTTAATCTGTCAAGTTTTCCTATAGGTAAATATAAATCGCTGTAGTAGAATAAAATCTAAACAACAACAAAAAGTATTTTACCACATATGAGTGGGAATTGATAAACAGACATTTTTAATGTTCACAGCGTTTCAGGCCGGAACACCCCTCCTCTGGTGATTTTAAACTTTGGTGAATCCTGCCCGAAACGTTGTAAATATTAAAAAATATATATATATTATTTACCATTTATTTGTAGTATACGTTTTTCCTCACTCTAAGATTTCGATTGTAATATCTTTTGTGTTAATTACACTTTGATATCTGCAACTCAAACTAACAAACAAGAAGCTTTCTTTGGAATTTTTGGTTTGAAATTAATATGCTTCTGTAATAAATTTGGTTGATTTAACTCCAGCGAAGTTGAAGAATAGTGAAATAAAGTTACCGAAATTAAGAATGTAATAGATCTTACAATGCGACACCTTTCAAAACCTCATTGCGATGATCTAAAAATTTTCTCATCAAACTTTTTAGTTTCATGCCCAAGATGATAACAAAGAGTACGTAAAAAATCTATATAATATTAATATGACAAAAAATACTGTAGCGAAAACTAAGAATAAGATATATCCTAAACCAATTAGGCGTAACCTGCCCTGCAGGACTAGCTCAGAGTTAATATTTATAGGTAATAATAAGTTATAGATTTGTGCATATAACAAACGAAATTCGTCCTATATATAGACGCATATACTGTTTCAAATCTTTTCACATACCAAGGACTTTGATTTCTTGGCCCCAGTGGTCTGCGCCATCTTGGATCTATGTTCTGAGCGGTTTCGAGATTGCTGAGGTTTACGAAGATTTTCATTTTCGAATTCACAGCATTGAATTCATATATCTTATAACGGTTAAATTCAAAATACCAAACACAAATTTTGTGACTACTTGAAATTTACTTTCAAAAAAGAAAATTCGAAACCTAAACAAAATGCTGAAAACTCCACAATCTCTTGTAAAGTGTGCGCGTGCTTAGCTTATTAGCATGCGTCTACCAGCCAAAAATCGTCTGCTATTGCATGTTGTTATATATTTGAGTTTACCTTCATTCGAAGCGGGACGAAGTTCTGTCAAATTTAATTAATATAGTAAGCCTAAAGTTTTACGTCACTGGATTGATACTGATAGGCATACTGTGTTCATGTGATCAGCAAATTAGGCTCACTACTAGTAGTTTTTATCACGGATTTTTTAGGGATGCCTGCGCAAAATAGCTAATCTTACTTTTTAGCTAGTCTTGTTCTAGTTAATTCACTAATTTATTGGGCCATCCAATTGGCCTAAATGAATTATTTTTAGCACTTCCTTCCATGAAATATTATTTGGTAGGACTCGAGGCTTAGGCCCTATTGCCTCGTCCCTTAGGCATACGGTGGTAACCGATAGAATAGTGTATATATATGCGCGCGCCTAGGCTTAGGCCTAGAAGAAAAGATAAGCTAAGAAGTGTGGTCTGTAGTGACGAAAGGTAATGGCAGTGGTATGCAATGCAGTCAACACTGTCCAGAAAAAGATGTGTTCGAGTGTGACTTGGTATTGATAGCGAACAATTCAGGTCTGTTTTTCTCAACTTAAGCCTTTTTTTACCTATATGTTACCTATTTCATATTATATTGCATAAGCGTTATGTTAAATATATATATTTGGTGAGAAAACACTGATAATAGGACATAAGAAATTTTCATCGCAGTGTTAAATTTGAAGAATTAGTGATAACAAATATGCAATTCTTAATCATTAAAAATTATATTAATTTTACTTAAACACATATATAACAGTATTCTTCTTGCTCAAACCTTTACAAATATTTCAAGTGACTGATTACAAAATAAGAATATCTCATGAGCCACTAATTAATAAAATATCTAAAGTCACGGTAATTAATCTATGAAAATAATATATTTTATTCACACGATATGAAATATAGGTATGATTTTTACAAGACAAAATAATTGAGCAACAAGAGAATCTTTCTGAAGGTCTATCTACATAACGAGCCCCAAATAACTTTATACAACTTGCATAATTATCGTACATAACAACAACAGAAAAACAGTTATTTCAAAAATATTTTCTCCAGTTTTCATTTACATTGAATAAAGGATTAATGTGAATGTATCCAGAATATATATGATATTTTCTAATGCATAAAGCTATAACTTCAACAATACACACGTTAAATAAATGTAGCGAACGTCGATCCACTAGTATTCGAAGGAAACGATGGAGACTAGATCCATTTTAAGGCATTTTCAACTATACGACTAAATTATTTTTCCATTATATTTACCAAATATCTACACACCTATCTAATAATCTTATAATATGCCTTATCATATCTCTTTTCTATTTCTTTGGAGATTTTTACAAAAAATCTCGATAAAGTTAAATATTTTTGTTTTGCTATGGATAGTTTTAGATATTTATACAAAAAGCTAATTCATGCTCAAATTTATATGAAAGAAAAAAATGGAGCAACTTATATTGCATAAATTGAAACACTAAAAAGTTTATTAACCTCTGTAAACCTAGTATGTTTCGACAACTCCGAAACAAGTTAGGTTAGAGTTAATACTTCTTAATGAGTTTAATTCATGCGGTATAACTTTCATCCCATTTTCTTATTTGATATATTGATATAATTAGACGTCTAATTCTAGTACAAGTTGAAATATAACATGATGAAAAATGAACCACACATTGTAACATACCCGTTTTCAACATTTTTGTTAATGATATTATTGCAGTTTTTCAATTAGAATCATAGGGCAGAAGTTATGTGAAAGCTGTATGAAACAAAATTACATCCTCAATATATATATATTGAGGATGTATATATATATAAAGCTATAGCTTGTAACATTTGCATATGCCAAATCTATCTTCGTGCACTTTTGATTTTCTTTATTATTCTTTATATGGACGTGTTTATTTATTAACTGTCTAATTTAAACAAGTATTCCTATTTTTTTCAAGACTTGATAGCGCTTCTTGTCCATTACTTCACATTGTCTGTCTGACGTTACTTAGAGTTTGAATATTTGATAATTGTACGTGGTATCACGCTGAAATTGTTCTATCCTATCTTGTTTCAAACACTATTCCGAAAAATATCTCCCTTTTTTCTATTGACGGTGGATTCGTTTTCAAGAACTAGCCTATAATCAACTAGCGAAATTACCTTCAATAGTGTAATTTGACGAGCATGAAGAGGGTACTTTACAGTATTGTTATGTGTCTTGAATATTGTTTTCATCTGATTGCTGGATGTTTATGTTGAAAATATTTTCTCTGCTGTACTGTCCTCTGTCTATTCCTCTGGGAACTTCTGCTCCTGACTTTATTGCAGAACCAATAATAACATGAGAATGTTGTGTTGTATATAAACTGGCCGCAGGATGGCGCTGTGTGTTCTGAAGTACAACTTGATATAGTTGTGTATATTTTTCATGTAACTGATTTCGATCAGTTAACAGACGCTCTCTTTCGGATTGTAAATGAATTTTATCCGTCTGTAGTATTTCCAGCTCCTTCTGAAGTCCAATAATCTGATCAAGTTTTCTTTTCCGACAATTTTGTGCTGCCACCTGCATTTCCAAAAAATAACAGAAATTACTATCTGGATTATGACGAGTAAATTGTATGAAAGTATTTAAGAAAACTGTTCAACACTGATAAAGAACACAGCGGCATGTGTGCGAACGTACGACGCTAGAAACCGGTTTTCGATACCGGTGGTGGGCAGAGCACAGATAGCCCATTGTGCAGCTTTGTACTTAACTTCAATCAAACCAAATCCGAGAAAGAATGTTATAGTTGATATAGAATAATCTGTAGAGAAATCACAGTGATAAAAAGTAATATAGTTAATATAAAGGAGTATGAAGAGCGCAACAAGAAAAATCTGATAAATCATGCTGATAAAAATGCCACCTGTAATATAAAGTAACTTGCAGAGCGAAAGCTGAGAAGCCATAAAAAATATCTAGTGGCATAGTTAGTATAAAGTAACCTGCATAAAGTAAATATCCTAGTTACTATAAAGGAGCGTGCGTTGCTCAAACTCAGAAACTTGGGTACCGGTATGTTATAATTAACTGAGTCATTTGTTAAAGGATTGAATATGCTTTTATACAAAATCTGTATGTTGACTTTCTAATCCGATTTGCTACGATCTAAACAAGAACATCCTTTTCAAAGGTCCCTCGGTGGGACCGCAGTAAGTCTATGGATTTACACCGCTAAAATCAGGGCTTAGATTCCCCTCGGTGGACACAGTAGACAGCCCGATGTGGCTTTACTATAAAAAACACACTTTTCAAACTTACTTTCAAAATAATGTGTGTGTGTTTTATAGCAAAGCCACATCAGGCTCTCCAGTTTGTCCACCAAGGGGAATCAAACCCCTGGTTTTAGTGCTCTAAATTCGTAGACTTACCGCTGTCCCACCATTAGACTTCAAAATAGCATTAAATTTATTTTTCAACAAAATTCTAAGTATTCTCTAAACATATATGATTACAAATTGAGAACTTCTAAATTTAAAGCTAACAATTCAGAATGGAGTTTGATAATTAATGTATTATTAAGGAAACTGTGATAGATTCAATTTGAATATTACTAAGGTAAACTAATCAAATTTTAGTAATACTCAATTTAAGTGTCTGACGTGTTTCTAGTGAAAAATTTGATAATGTTTCGATTGTTTTGTTTAGCTTTAATGAATATATTTAATTTTCACAATCGACTTCTTAAAGAGATGAATATTCTATCTTCAATAGGTGCTTTTGTCTACTTTACTAAGGAGAGAGTCTCAAATAAAGCTTGCTGAGAATGAATATTGTTTTTTTTTACCTCGGCGTGACAAAACAGTCAGCGTGTCAGAACTATGAATCCGAGGATTCCTGGTTCGAGTTTTGTTACTGCAAGACCGGGCTCCGCGCTTTGAGACAGTAGTACGCTATAAAAGTGGAGGTCAAAACCCGCAATTCGGTCAGGTAAGAGTAGCTAAACATTTGGCGGTGGGTGCTACTGAATTGTTCCATCCTTTTATCAAGGCGCAGATAGCCTAGTTGCTTTGCGCCAATAAACGCCAGACAACAACCCTTTATCAGTGGCACATTAGGGACGGTTATGCCCATAAAGTCCTAGTATAGCTTTGCGTGAAGTTTCTAAATAAATGACAACTACTTTTAATATGCGTTATGATTAAAATACATCATTGATTTAATAAATGTCATTAAATAGTGCGAACATTTGTTGATAATGAAAAATACAAATTAAACAAATATCACTTTTATTTATTTTGTGAAGTTACAAAATTTAACTACACACAATATTGTGCTACGTGTAAAGAAGTTAGAGATGAAACCGTAGCATGTTCGTAAATATCACTCTTGCTGTACTTTCCATTTAAAATTTTAATCATATAAATTTTTGTTTATTTGAGATTCTGTAATCCTTGACAAAGGTTTCTCTATTGATTCGAAAGCTTGGGACGAAATATATCGTTTTTGTTGCTCACTAGCACAAGAACAAAAGAACACCCCAACTTCAAAAGGCGCATGTCACTGAAGTTAAGAGGGGCATAATAAAACAAAGCACCGGAGTGGCGAAGTAAAGAGGACATTTACCCCCCTCCACCATCATCAAGGGGCCCTCTAATTCTAGACATAACCTCTGGTTTGGTTGCTGTTAAGCTCAAAGCTACACAATGGGCTATATGTGATCTGCCCACCACGGATGTTTAAACCCGACTTTTAGCGTCGTAAGACTGCGTACACACTTACCACTGAGCTATTGGAGGGGGAGTTAACAAAATAATGCACAAAGTTTTTAATAGTTATTCAATTGTAGTACACTGCAAAGTATCCATCCTTTGTATAAATTATATAACACAGGAGGCCTAACTCGGCAAAATACCGATTTGGTCCCCCCTATCCCCCCCTCTCCAAACAATGAAATCCTAGGACTGTCCCTGATAAGCGTTAAACGTTAACCCGGAAAATATAAACTATCAGTGAAGTTTAAAGAAAAGAAACTGTACTGACAAATTTCGGACTGAGAGAGAGAAAGCAATTCAGGAGGTTTATTATGTGGTGTTAATAATGATTATATTTTAATTTAGCCCTCATATGCGTATTTTGTTTTCCGTCGCTTTCGATTGTTCACTATCTATTGTCTATTTCTTTATTAAGTAGAACATCTAAAAGTTATGTATAACTAACTAAATTGAATTTTAAAAAGTCGGTGATCACCTTGTTCTTTCCTCGTCTCCTTATGTCTCGTATTAAAGATAACTGGGCTTCGGTTAGCTCATACTTCGAAAGTTTTTCATTGAATTCGTCTATAGGTAAGTTGATGATGTCTTCGATTGTAATGGGGAGTTTTAACGCTTTCGCTCTCTTTTCATCTCTACTAGTCGCTTCATCTTGTTTGTTTTCGTTAATGTTACGAGGGTTGTTTTTCTGGAACGAATTGTTGCTATCTATTGGAAGATGGTAGTAATTGCTACGATGAAATGAATCGACGTAAACGGCGTTGTTGGCCCCACTTGACAGAGCGTTTCCACAATAATTTTGATTACCCACCGTTGGAAAACTATCCAAGTTTTGATATGCAAATGTATTTGGTAAGTAGTTGTTTCCTTGATCTGGTAGGTTAAAATAATGTGATTCAAGCACAGGTTGAGTTAATTGTCCGGTTTCGACGAAATCTTCTTGTCCTGCCTGGAATAATGTCCACTTTTGTTAATACATTATTGGTTTAAAATGAAATTTTTCCACAACTGGTTAGCGTTAAATAAAAATATGTTATAGAACACTAAAATTACAACCAAAGACATCTTTATTTTTGGAGTACGATAATATCAAATTTAAAAAGATATTTACAGTATATATTATACAGTAAGCTGTACTTATATTTCCCAATCAATTTGAAAATCCTTACAAAATATAAACAACTACTAATCTTTTACTTTAACACTCTCCAAAGAACTACAGCGGTTATGAACTAATTTATTTGCCTATACGTAACTCGGTTTAGTAGATTATAACAAAAATTGAAGACAATAAACAAGCAAATGGTTAGGACCAAATAAAACCTTCGCACAAATATATATTGGTTTTAATTTAATTTCGCTCAAAGCTACACGAGGGCTAACAGCGTTAGCTGTCCCTAATTTAGCAGTGTAAGACTAGAGAGAAGGCAGCTAGTCATCACCACCCACCGCCAACTCTTGGGCTACTCTTTTACCAACGAATAGTGGGATTGACTGTCACATTATAACGCCCCCACGGCTGAAAGGGCGAGCATGTTTGGTGTGACGGGGATTCGAACCCGCAAATTGCGAGTCGAGCGCCCTAACCACCTGGCCATGCCGGGCCATCCATTAAAGAAAGACATGTGCATCGTTTAGAAATTGTAGCTAAATGTTATTTGGAATTTTTTGCTGTGAAGAATAAGTGAATTTTAACAGTTCATTGCAACAAGACAAAATAAGTTTGATTATAAACAAGATTACGACACTTATGATATACAACATTGTTTATTAACAAAAAAGGGGACATAGATAAACGTTTCGGAATTCTATCAGATTCCATCTTCGTAATATTGTTTATAATCAAAATAAGTTTGAT